AATTATCCATGAGTACCACTGTAGAAACACCCTTAGATTTGACTCTTTTGAAGTGAAATGTCATTCTTCACCAGACTTTTGTTCACCTCTTAGAAGGGGTCTTGGGATATATATAGGTATCTTTCCTCCCACAATGAGTTAGCATGATCTGATAAATGTAGTCATTCCTCCACTTTACATTTAGGCGGGCATAAAAGGTACATGTGCACAGTTCCCATCACTCTGGAACTCTGTACCAATCTGACTCACACTTCAGCATAACATAGCAGTCTTTTGAAAAACACAGAAATGGATCATTTACAAGCTTTAATGTTCATACACATCATTCTAATTTGTCAGGCTGATACATGTATTGAAATGCAGTAGGAATATTGCAATGCTGCCTATACAAAACTATTAAGCAAACCAGAAATTATTTCTAAATCAGTCTGCTATGAACATGCTGTTCTTGAAGGTATACCGCATGCTGTACAGCTTAAAATTAGTTTAACAAAAACCATTAAAAACTTAAAAAATTACATAATTATATTACATCCTTATATGCACAACTTACTTTAAGGAGCTGATGAATCAAATGTATAAATGTACAGAAGTAAGACCTTTCTTCAGCTGCTGCCAGATTGATAGGATGTATCAGAGTCCAAACTTCATATTTAATGAAATGGTGGAGTGTTAGAGTCTCTTGATTATAAAAAGCCTTATAACATTCTTCATTTTTTACAGAGGTTGTTAAAAAAATGCATTTTTCTGAAATCCATGCCTATAACTCCATAGTTAATAGACGTAAGAGAGTGCAGGTGTTCCTAATAATTTACTTAGAAATTACTTTTTTTTTGCTCTCCCTAAATCATATATTGGGTTATCATTCCCTGAAAAAAAAAAAAAAAACCAGGAATGGCTTTTCTAGTAACTGAGAAATATGGAAATAGTTTGCTTTAAAATGAAAAATACTTAGTAAACCATTCTTGATGCTGAGGGTCTTGGTTTTGGTCATCTTTGGTTTCTGGTGGTTCACTGCCATGTGTCCTGTGCAAACAAATAAGCATTAGCATGACTTGCCTACTTACTTACAATCTCACCAATATGTAATACTTCTTTTCCCAGAAAAAATCCTGATCCTATGAATGGTGCTGTGCTCACATGAACGGATAAGGCCAAAAGGTGCTGGCTACAATACACTAATGGGATCTGTGCTAGCCAAGTAACTCAAATAGTTACCTGGTTGTAACAGGCAGAGCTAACAGCTATGGAGTGTTGTTAGAACATAATTCTTAACTTGACATCTTGGAAAAAAGGATGCTTCAAGAATAAGAGGTCTTGAAAATCAGAGAATGGCAGCTGCAAGTCATTCTTCAAAACATGAAATACAATTTATGCATTAAAAATGTTGGATAAAAGTTATTTGAAACTGAAAGATTAATTTGAACATTACTGGCATTTATAATCAATCCTATTACATTGTCCCTTTACCATCCTTCAGGATTTTTTTTAACAAATTATAGCAAATAAGACTTGACTTTTGATTGACTGACCTAAAAGAGTTACATAAGTAGCAGCCAGGCTACCCTCAGTCTCCTTGTGCATGTTTCCCTTTAAAACAGGAATCTGATTTGCCTTGGCAGTCATCTGGCACAATACAGCACTTTTTTATCTTTTAGATGTGGAAATTGCCAAACTGGATCCAAGCCTGATCCAATCCCAGGTTATTGTTTCTGTCGGCAGTCAGCACCATCTGCCCTCAAGGAAAGAACACGAGCATGTAATTTGCAGGATAAGTAATCTCCACCAGGAGATAGGTGAGAAGGCTGGATTTGGGCCTGAAATGTAGTGGTAGGGTTTGTTGTTTTGTTGTGGGGGGTTTTTTTGTGTTGTTTTTTTTTGTTTGGTTGGTTGGTTGGTTTTTGTTTGTTTGTTTGGTTTTGTTTTAATATTTAACATTATTCTGCATATGTTAGCTATGTATATTTTTAATTATTTCTTGAAGAGAGAGTTCAGCTATGTTTATAAAATACCAAACATTGTTCAAATAACTCATAAATTTGAAGAATGCAAGCTCTTCAGAGAGAACACATGAAACAAAGAAGTTTTACTTAAGTATCTGCTAATCAATTTTTTAAGTCTCTAAACTCTTTGTGTAATGATTAGCCTAGATTAATTGAAATACCTCCTAAAATAAAAATATGTCATCTACATCTACCAAGTGCAAGGTGAAGAAACAAAAATAAGAGAGAAGACACATCCTTATCAGAACCACTGGTAGATGCTCAAGGTTTTAAATAGCCATATTCACTATTAACTGCATTCTTAGTTAAGTACTTGCAACTCTTCTTTCTTAGCACCAGAAGGGGTTGTAAGTGTAAGCTCTGCTGGGCAGGGATTATAGCCTACTTCTGCAGCAAAGCTCTGGGTCTGTCTGCAGAGAACTGAACACGTAGAGTTCACTGCACTGCAGGAACCTCACATCCTTTTGTATTTCCAAATGTTTTGAATTGCCTGAAAGATTCTGAACATGAATTCATTTATTGTCTTACAAAATGGATAAATACCTTGTGGCAGCACTGCTGTCTGAGGACTGTGCTGATGGAGAGCCCACCCTGAGGCAGCCAGGACTCCGGTCTAAGCTTGTAGATTTTGTTATTTGAGGAGCACTTCTTTTTGATCTCAAGTCACAGCTCAGAAAGCTCTTTGCGTAGGAAGCTAAATTTGGAACACTGACGACACGACTGGGCACCTCAAGTGTTTTCTTCCTCTGCTTTTTATTGTAACAGAAAACTTCATTACATACACAGTTTTTTCAATTTATACAATAAAACCTCAATAATATCTCATTCCTAGATGTCTTGTGAGGAACCCCCAGATAGAAGAAATCCTGTCTTTTTCTGTAGGCATTTAAATTCTCATGATATGCTGTGAGGATCCATGGATTTGGTCTCAACTAGTTAAAACAACCTGTGTATTTGACCTTGAGGTTTTAGACACATCAAGGTGCTTTCCACCAACTTGACCTCCCTTCTTTTAATGAATATTTATAGACAATATCATGCAAAGGGGATGGAATGACAAAGGGTGAATACCGAGCAACCCAAACAGATCCATAATTTTCCTTGATGCATGCAACTCCTAAATCTGCAAGCAATGGCTGTGCTTATCCCAGTGGAAGACTCATATCTTTGGAGTTTTTGTGTTTTATATCCATTTAAACACCTGTATCTCTGTTGCACATATACTTCTACTGAATTTATGTTATACTCAACACCTGACTGTAGGTTGGCTTACTGGAAAGGATTCTACGAAATAACATTATCATAAAAAATTAATAGCACTTTTGTTGTCCAGATCACCTGTATGATTCAAATAGTAATAAAACTTCACGATTTGTGATTTTAATGGCATTGCCCATCTTACCTTGATGGAAGGAGCCAACCCTGCTGTATTAGGGTTGAAAGAAAATGACCGATTCCTGGAGGATTCAGTGTTGGCTGAAAGTGAATGCTGACATTTTCTTCCTTCCTGAGGGGAAAGAAAGTTACATGTATAGAAACATGTATTTGTTGGAAGCTGGTAGGGAAACACACATTTGTCAAAGTATTCCAGAACAGAAAGAATCGGCAAGTCTGAAGCAATGTGCAAAACACTAAATAGAGACTTTCAACAGATTCCAAGATACATAACTGCATATAAAAGGCAGTCTTACCACCAGCTGCTTGATAATTTCTTCTCTCTCACTTAATTTGTCTTCCAGACAGTTTATAAGGTGTGTATCTTCTGACCTGGACTCCCACTTTCTTGACTTTTCTTCTAATTCTTTAAGTCTGTACCAAAGAAAATGCAGACTGGAAAAAAATTTCCTCAGATCAGGTACAAGAGATACCTGGGCTGTACTCTGGCCTAAATTCCAAATCTAAAATACAGGGGCATACTCAGGCCTTTCTGATAAAATATTCTTTTTTAAAAAAAAATGGGCATCTATAAATGATTTAAATAGAAGGATAGAATCTTGTGGAGTTCCAAAATAAATTGCCACCAAGGTTAATCCACAACACCTGTGGATAAAATCCAGCCTCTGGTGTGAAATACTAACAAGCTTGCACATCACATAGCTAGTCTAGTTTCCTTAAGAAAAAATTCTGCGTCAGAGTATCTATACATACCTATATTCATCTATTTGTTCTCTTTTCTGACCCAATAACTTTAGAATCCTCAAAAATATTCAATTCCTATAACTTTCATGAAGAGAAGCTTGGATACACATGCTGCTTTAATGAACCGCCTAAGTCAAAACTTGCAGTCTGAGTTCAGCTTTTCAAATTCCTTAATCAGGGAAAAAGATTCAAATGGGAATTACACATTCTTAGATATGGTGTGGAAACATACATCTGATTGACTCATGAGAACACAAATCATTGTTTCAATCAGCCAAGTTCATTAATTTTGCTGTTTGAGAAACTGAGTACTATGAAGTTCACCTGCCATAACCAGGACACATACTGAGAAATGTATTACAGAATACAAACCACCATTTTGTGGCTGGGGTTTTTTTTGTGTGTCGGTAAACATTTTTTGGAGGACCACCCCCCAACCTTATCATCTTAGAATTTAAATAAAAAGATAAATCTTAACATCTGAAAGGTTTGGGGCCTGCTTACATGCAAGGTCTCTGTTCTGGTTCTCTGCCGCACAGCTGGGGTGAGGGAAAAGGACAAGGGTATACAATCACAGGGGTTAATTCTAAGGGGCCTCTCCTGTACAATCTGAAGCACTACAACTTAACTCCACAGGGGGCTGCAAAGTGCATTTATTTGCATGAGTTAGTGAGGGCTATCCTGGGAAATTTTCAAGGGAGTGAGAATGATCAAGAGCTTCTTAACCTCAAAGATGCTGCTCTGCTGAACAAAATTAAGTACAAGATCATGGATCAAGGCCTCTGGTATCATCTGCAACAAAGATGATTTTACACTTCATAAAATTGCTAGATACTGCATGCAAGTTTTAAATTAGCATTGTATTAGCATTATGTATAGCATTACATATAGTGCTTTAGACTAAACAATATTCAGAATTTATTATAGTGTCTTTTTGGTTTGCAAAGGCAATACCTATACACTCGTATTTCAATCCTTACAATACTCTAGGTATGATTAATACAAAAATTATACATACTAAGAATCATAAATTCAAACAAAACTCATTGCCAGTACGAGCCACAGTTCATTTTAATTACTTACGATGTTTCTAACGAGAAAATCTTTGCTAGGAGATGTGCCTGAGTGCTGCTGAAATCAGATAATATGTTTTCAATTCCCTTCCGGTGATCTTGTTTCAGTATGTTCAGTTCTTTTTTATGCTTGATATTGAGGTCTTCTACCAGTAGCCTTTCACTGGTATTAAAATATGTCTGAATTATCATGTTTCAATACTAGTTTATTTTCATTGATCAAAGTACGCGGTTTTGAGATCTTTTATTGACTGCAAAGGCAGTTAACTGGGCACAGAGCTGGCTTCTCCCTACTGAGTCAATTTTGACATTTTGGTAGCAATCTGAGCAGAACCATCCTAACACCGAGGAAGAGGAAAATTTTTGAAAAGTACTTCACCTTTCAGGAAACAGAAGGTCTATTCCATATAGTGATGCTATTGATATTCTGTCTAGGGTTAGTTTGTGCATTAATCTTAATGATAAAACATGACAATAGGAACTCACTTGCATTAAGCAAAATTATGTTGAAATCTCTGGGATTTTAACATGAGGCTCTGATAATTTATTTTATCACCAAAATATTTACTATTGCATACTGTAATCCTAAAACTGTTTTTTAAAAAAAATAAAATTGAAAACTAAAAAAGCCTAACCATAACAATGCTTTCTAATACCAAATCTAAAAGCAATAGACATCTATTGAAGAATCACAGTTTGTTGTCTTTTGTTTGCTAATGCTTTGTTAAACCTTAGAGAAACATTTTCATCAACTCGATGGAGAGCCCATGCTCTATGGTTTACTGATTAAAATGGAGATGCTCAACTCAGCAGATTAAAAATTGTAATTCTCACAAAAGACATTCAGTTTACTTTTTTTTCCCCTACTTTTTTATATGTACTCCGAAATCTGTTTCATTTGTTTCTGAAAGGCTTCAGGAAAGGCCAAAAGGCCCATGAAAGGTTTCTGCCCTCGAAAGTAGAGCGCAGCCATGCAAGCGACTGGCATAAGATAGGAAGCAGAAGAATAAGGGTAAATAAGGGAGCAGAATCCCTGAAATAGATCTTGGGGTAGAATAAAAATTATCCTTCAGAATAGCCATTTTAGGAATTGTCC